GTTATTACCAGAGCTTTGTCATTTTTAAGAGATTGTGATACATCTTAGAATCATTGAATAAATTCTGTCATATAACATTAAAATGGCGCAGAAATATGATATTTTTAAAACTGTTTTAACTCTATAGTATCTAAGCAGTTCTGACATACAAAACTGATTATAATGAATTTATAATAAAGCCGGTTATCTCTCAACTTTTAAAATTATTGAAATGTTAATTATTTATATCATATTATCAGAATACATTTTGGTACATTTTAAACTACATACATTTCTCATCTCATCATTACAAATCTTATTAACTTTATTTAGTTCTGCAGTTTGAACTCAAAGCAAGAAAAAATTACACTACGCGATCACGAACGTAGCAGTTTTTATTGATTTTAAGTCTTATAGCAAATAAAATAAAGTTTAAATATGATAACCGAATCACAGCTCCAGTTGATTTGGTATCAAAAGTGGTAATGAACTAAATACAGTCATTAGTTTGGTTAGCGTAACCGTTCTTCACTTCGTATCGAAGTGGGTTAGTACGATTAGTAAACAATGAGTTCATAACATACAGTCTTTGTGTTAGTACAGGAAGTTAACTTCGTTGTCCATTTTAAGCAAAATAAGTACGATATTAAATAAAAACATTCTTGTTTTGCAATGAGAAACAAACCTTTTTTCGAAAATTCTTAGTGATAACATGAAACCTGGAATGTATGTGCCAATAAGCTCTATATATAATGTTGACTGCACGGTTGGTGCGGTGACTGGGCAACCGGCTGCCGTGCAACGTGTCGCGGGTTCGATTCCCGCACGGAACAACACTTTGTGTGATCCACAAATTGTTGTTTCGGGTCTGGGTGTCATGTGTATGTGAAATTGTATGTTTGTTAACGCACCCACGACACAGGAGAAAATCCTAGGGTGGGGCAATTCATGGCGGAATGGCAGCAACGACTGTCGCAACCGAGGGCTGGGCTCGCTGCCATCGCAGCGGTAAGTCCCCTCTTTGAGGAGTGGCTTGAGAGACGCTACGGCGTCCTCACCTACCGCCTGACGCAGGTCCTCACCGGACATGGCAGTTTCGGGAGGTACCTGTGTCTGATGGGGCGGGAGGAAACGCCCGGGTGTCATCACTGCGAGGACCGCCCTGAGGACACGGTGGAACACACGGTGGGAGAATGCCCTTCGTGGGCTGAGCACCGCCGTGTCCTCAGGGAAGTGATCGGCGATGGCGACCTCTCGCGTCCGGGCCTAGTGCAGGCCATGATGCGGAGCGAGGGGGATTGGGATGCCGTCTCCTCCTTTTGCGAAGCAGTCATGCTAGCTAAGGAGGAGGCGGGACGCGTGAGGCAGCGAAGCGCTGCCTCCTCGCAACCCAGCCATCGCGAAGGACACACCGGGCGTCGGGGATCGCGGGACGATCTCCGGCCACCGTAAGCGCGGGCCTGCGGACGGCGAGCATGGGTGGCTCCCCGTCCGACCAGAAACAGACCCGAGCGTACGGCGCGTCGCGTTCCGCGCGCGCCTCAAAGAGCCATCAGACCACCACAGATGGGGCCCAGTAGGGCCGATGCCGATTCGGAGTCGCGGAGAACCTAACGGGTAACCGGGGCTCCGGCTCGACGTGCAGGAGAAGGAACGGGGTGGTTTTTAGTCAGTAAGAGTCTGACACTCCCTCCCGCCTCACCCAGGCGGGGGCAGTCATTCGATGATTTTCCCCCCTTAAAAAAAAAAAAAAAAAAAGGGTGGGGCAATGTTTATTAAAAAAAAAATGTATTATTGATAACTTATAATACAACATGAATTTTATTTTAAGTTTATGTAAAGGCTAACTGGTATTAGTGAGATATACAAAATTAATTATTATTATTTTGGTTTAAACGTAACTGATTGACGAGGAACTCAACTAGTTTCAAACCACGCAGGGGCCTATATTCATGAGCAGCATTCCGTGACACACGACGAGACTTGTATAATTTGACAATCGAGTCATATTCCTTGACAAATTGTAAGCCGAAAAATATAATAGCGAAAAACTTATACTTACTCTCATTAGGTATTCACATAAGAGAAAAAAAGATACTATGTATAGTCTATAACCTTTTCTTAAATGTCTTGATATTCATTATTACAGCTAAATATAAACTCAAGTTAGTTATTGGACTACAAATCACTGGTTTGATTATTTCTAACAAGTTTTTTTGTTACTACCAAAAATAAAATTATTCATCTAGCAACCAGCTTACAGTCGTCGTTTAGTGGAAATCTATTGAGGTGTTTCATTTACTGTTTGTATTATTATGTTAAGAATACTATTAATAGAGACTTCCTGCTTTAGTGTTCTAGTCTAAAGTACGTCCTACCAGCTGGAAGAAAAAAGTTTGTAGTAGATAGAAGCTGGTTGCATAAATATTTAAAAAGTATGAAGTATAGGTATGTCTGTTAAAGGGAATAGTAATTTGTTTTGTACCTACTGATCAATTTTGTTTTCAAAATATTATAGAAAATGTATAAACCTAGGAATTTAAAAATTATATACAATTCCTAGAACATGTATACGATCCTAGGGAATGTAGGTATATAATTACTACAAAATATATCTATACAATTCTAAAATTATATTAGGAAATGTTTTATACATTTCATAATATAAATTACAGAAAACAAAATTATATTAGGAAATGTAAAACACGTTGTTGCAAATATATTTTATGTGATAGTTCGATAACCTTATGTTTAATTATATTTAGATCATTGTTTTTATTCTATTTATCTTTTCAGGTATGGTATATAATAAGGAAGATTAGTATACAAACTCACATTATGCATAGATATAGTATGTATACTACTGTATACATATGGTTTATGCCAATGACCTCATTGCTTAGCGCCTTGGCACGCAACATGAACGTGAAATAAAAGAATAATTAATTAGTTCCTGTCAACAATGGCATGTTATGTGACGCCCTTTGACCTACTGTGTTAGTGTAAAACCAAATTGAATGTGTTCTCAACTTTGATAATGTTCTAGGGAACAACATATAGACGTTTTAAAACATAGCATCTATTAGGCATATAACGTAATACATATTTGCTTCGGTACAAATCTAAACTGACAATTTCGGTATCTTAAATCAATAATTCGCTGCCCCATTTAAAATATTTGTTTCCGACCAACAAACTAACAAGAAAAAATGTGAATTGCTGTAAAACAAAACTGATACTGATAAGAGTCCCGTTGTGGCTTGAAACTAGACGGGTAATCCCCGAAATATTATATGTAATATATAATGTATGACACACATGCCACGATAGTTACATAACAGACAAGGAAATACACAAGTATCATATTACTTAATTTTCAAATTACAGACTGACGATATTGACAGATAGACCTCAAAACAAGAACTTCTCGTTTTTGGGTCTTAAATGAATATTTTTTTAATAGGTAGAGGTACGAAACAGGTTTTGTTTTTAAAACTCGTCATAGAGATCTTTTGACTGGTAGCTATGGTGCATTGACCCGATTTGACGTTTGATTAGGAAACCACGCATTGAAACGGGCTACTGACTTCACGACTTATGTAACGATTAGATTAATATTTGGGAATTAAAAATGAGATAACTGTACCATGCAAATATGTCATTAATTTAAAAAGAATATATGTACTATAATTGAAAGCTATTTAAGTTTAATTTATGTTTAATTGGTCTTTTCGGGTTCTGATATAATGTTTTATTTCTAATAATATTATATCAATTAATAATGTAAGAAAATATAAAACGGTTTATTTTATACTAGCGACCCGCCCCGGCTTCGCACGGGTGCAATATGCATGTATTATACATACAAACCTTCCTTAAGAATCACTCTATCTATTAAAA